ATTAAGTATACGAGAATTCTATGTTTTTTTTTTTTTTTTTTATTTTTTTTTTTTTTAGTTTTTTATAAGTTTTTGTGTTATATCTCACACTTTGGATCTGTTTCTCTGTCTGTCCAGATCTCTCTCTCTCCCTCCCTCCCTCTCTCCCTCTCTCCCTCTCTCTCTTCCCCCCCTCCCTCCTCCTCTCTCCCTTTCTCCCCCCCTCTCTCTCTTCTCTCTCTTCTCTCTCTCTTCTTCTTCTCTCTTTCCTGATGGTGATGTAAGTAATAGTAATGAAGATGGTGATGATGGGAAGAATAATGATGATGATGGTAATAATTATAAAGATAATAAATAATGGCGGTGATAATGACGGTAAGGATCATAACACGAAAATTAGGTCGATGATGATGGTAATGATGGCGATGACGATGATGATACGTAATCATGGGACTTAATTAGGAATTAAATGACATTCTTGTTTTTTTATCACTTCAGAATAATGACAGGGATAATTATGATAATGGTAATGAAAGTAAAATTGAAAATGAGGGTAATAATAATGACAATGAGAAGAACAGTAGCGACAGTAACAGTAATGCTGTTAAAGTGATCATGACAATGTTATGATAACTGTGGTAATAATGCTAACATTAATAATGAATGAATGATGATGATGATGTGATGATTATGATGATGATCATGAAGATGATGATAATGAAGATAATAATGATAATAATAGCAATGATAATAATGATGATGATGAAAATACTATTACTAACAATAGTAATAGTAATTATGATAATGTTAACAGTAATGATGATGATAATAATAAAATAATAATAAACATAATAATAATAATAATAATAATAATGATGATGATGATAATAATGATAATAATAACATTTATATTGATAATGATAATAAAAACAACAGCAATGATAATAATAACATTATTAATATTAATAATGATAATGATAATGGTTGATAATGATAGGTAAAAAGGAAAAGTTTTGACAATTGTATTTAACAATAGGAAAACAACATATAAAGTGCGAATGAGTTGAAGGAGGGGGAGAGGGAGAGGGAGGAGGAGGAGGTCGCATAAGGAGAGGGAAGGGAAGAGGCGGCGGAGGAGAAGGAGACTATGGTGAGGAGGCCAAGTTGGCTGGCCGGACCCCCCCTCCCCCCCTCTCACCCCGCTCCATATATCCTTCGCTCGATCCTCCCCCCGACGCTGCATCTTCGTCTTGCTCGCCGGTGCGCTCGTCTTGCACGCAGGCTCGGGTGGGGGTGGGGGCAGGGAGTGAGGGAGAGAAGGGGGGTGAGGGAGATGGCTTTTGGGATGTATGGAGTGCGATGGCGTGATGCTGGGCACGAGGGAGCGTTGTGGGCAGCCCGAGTGTCTCTCGCTGGCCGGGGCATCCTCGGGGCATGGCCTGCGTCCCCATCCTCTCCGCCGGCCGCGGCCTCGGCTTAATCTTTCCCCCGCTCCTCTCCCCCCGTCTCTCCCCCGTGGCCCCTCCCCTCCGGCCTAATCTCCGTGTCGCACCTGATCTCGAGAGCCACAAGAGCCGTTTATTGCCCCGTGCCTCGGATGCTTGGATGCACGTCGAGGCCCCGTGCATGTGGACATACCTGTGTGCTTGTGGGGATCTCGGGGCTGCGAGGAGGCTGCGGACACAGCTGTGTATGGGGCTGGGAGGGGTGGGCGGCCCGCTAGGGGAGGAGGAGGGGAGGGAGGGAGGGAGTGGAATTGCACATTAGTTTTCGAGAGTCCGGATTTTTTTTTGTCTTTTATTATATAATAAGTTTGTGAAGTGAAATAATCAGGAAATATATTGTATGATATCAAGGTTTCATACGAAGTGTCGCAAGGGGAGGGGAAGGAGGCTATATAAATATTTATGTTTGAAAATATATCGGTCCTCCGTGGGCTTGCCGTTTCTCGATGGCGCTTTTAACTTTCATGTTTATAATAGTTTAGAGTGTTTATAAGTGTCAGTGAGGGAGATCAGGTCGGGAACAAGTGGTTACTCACTTTGATCCCCCTGACCATAAGGAGAAGAAATATTCACTTTCATATTTTTATCCACATGAAAGCCATTTTAAAAATTAACTTATCTGACGTGCTTTCTATAACAACCAAACTAACCTCTGCTTTAAGGATGGTAGACGAAAGCGCATAATTTGGAAATGAAATTCTGGTGTACTGAAGAAAAACGCAAAAAAATGCTAAGTGGCAATGAGTCGGGTCTGCGCGCCGAAGTGAGTGGCCGCCTCAGAATGACTTGGACCAGTGCACGGGGAGGGTGTGTGCGAGTGCTCCGCGACGCACTTCTGTAAAAAACGCCTGCGTTACTGTGCGTTTTGACTCTCTTTGGTGTGTATTCCGCCGAGGTGGAGCCAGCCTTTGCCAGTGTAGTGACTGTGACGCGTGTAAAAGTGTACACGAAGATTTGGTGGACGGAAAAGAAATGGAACTTTAAGAGTTTTTAAGAGTGTCTGGAGGTGGACTCAGGTGAGTACTGCCGTAGGGCATTTGTGTCGGAGTAGTGTACGGGCGGGCCTTTGGGAGACCTGTGTCACTGGCGCGGGGAGTTTTGTAGTGAAGGTACTGTGGATTGGTCATTCGGATTTGCAAGGTACATTGGCGACTATTTCACAGTAAAAAATACTATAATTAATCTAATGAATTTACGAGAACAGCATCGCCAACAGGTAAACAGACCTGACATTTGATACAGACTGGAGATAACGCAAGGATCAAAAGATGCTGATGATAGGCCTAGTGGTGGGATAGGCTTAGAAAAATCCCGGGTTCGTTCCGAGAGTCCGACCGTGACCCCTGCACCTCGTATAGCGCTGTCTGGGACCGCATGTATGTATGTATATATGTGTCGCCTTGTGTAAACAGAGCTTGGGGGATCCCGGGTGATTTCGAGGGAGCTAGGGGGATCCGCGGGAACAAGTTGAGGGCGATTAAGGGCAGTAATGTACGGGCGCTGTAACATGGGCAGTAAACATCAAGCCCAGCTCGGGTTAGCTTACGGTGGTGTCTTCTCTGCAAGTTCGCGGTGTGTAACTGACCTTTTCGCGAACGCACACACGCACGCACGCGGATGCCAAGGTGAGGAAGCTGTAAACCAATTTAGCTGATACAGATCTCCCACATACCTCCCTATGTCACACCACCTAAGGCTATAGGGGTGGAATCCGACCCTCGTAAAATAGCGTCCGCGCCCTTTCCGCCGTCGTGTCTACAAGACTTCCTTCTGCAGGCGTAGCTGTATCGCCTGTGCCTTCGCGGCCTCTTGTCTCTCTCTCTCTCTGGCTCATTCATTAACTTTCGACGAGTGTGCTGGGTAGCTTCGCCGGGATTTCTGGGGCTCGGGGGAGTAACCCAGATCTGGTGGAGTGATTTGTGTGTGTTTATCCTCTCCTTGTGGTCGTTTACTTTTAATTAGTCTGTGTTGGTTGTCGTTGTTTACACTTCGGTTGCACGTCGTACTAGTTTTAGTGTTCTTTTATTGCTTCCTGAAATCGTGTGTATTAAGATTTGCCATTTGGAAGGTGCACCTTGCAACGCTGAAATATATACATGTAGTGACCTCCACCTGGTGACGTCAGGTTTTTGTGCGTCAGGCTTGGACAGGTGTTATTTGGTCCAGGGACAAGTGCTCGATCGTAAAGTCGTAAAATGTCTAATAGAATCTCTTGCTATATTTTTTCCTCCTCGAGTAAAATGCCCCGACGGCGGAAACACGAGTCGCCTTGTTTACGTCCGGAAGCGGAGCGGAATAAGCCCCGGTATAAGCGGACTTGCGTGGTCGGTGGGCCGCCTTCTGAGGAATGTTTTGGTGGGATTGCTTGTCCGCGCTGGCAGGGTCGGCTATTTGGCGGAGGTGTGTGTGTGTTGACTCTTGGGCCTCCCGGGGACTGCCTCGTGTGCTCTCGGACGGTGAGGTCACGGCGGGTTTCTGTGAGAAGGGCGGTTCTGGGTACTTGGGTCTCGAATGTTTGTATGGTTTGGTTGGGTTCTGTCTTTTTATGTTTCTCGTTTTATTTTTTATCTCTCTCATCTTGTATGTTTCTCGTTTTATTTTTATTCTCTCTCTCTCTCTCTGCATGTTTGTTTGTTGGTATGTCGGTCTAACTGTGTGCATGTATATCATAGTATAATATATTTTGCAGACGCGTAATACGTGGGTAAGTGTCCTTGTTCGGTGGGCTGTAAGAGCGTGGTGTGGCACATCTGTGAGGCACAAGTGTCGAGTTAGTCATACGTGCACCTGAAGTGGCCACCCCTAGTCATTCCTCGTATTCGCAAGCATCCACCCTTCACACCATCTTATTACCATCCACCAGTCATGCAGACACTTTTCACTCGTTTCCGGAAATGTCATGCTGTCATACGCCCCCCTCCCCGCCCATGCACGCATTGCCCCCCGCGCTTTCACATTGGCGAGTCTTGTCAGGGCATGGGTGTTGACATTGTGTGTTTGTTTGTGTCTGATTACAATTTCTTGTACATCCGTGACTCATCATTGGGTAATCTATGTTTGTTTGATGGGGGAATATGGAAGCCTTGTGGTTATATTTATTTGTAGATGTTTATGGAAAGAGATTGTAAGGGATATAGAATGTTTCTATATTTTTGTGGAGTAAAAAAATGCAGTATTTTCATTTACGTTTATTTCCGTCTTTGAGTTCGTAACGACGTAAAGATGGCGGCGAACAAGCAAAAAACGTGCTTTATCTTTGCACTTATAGGTTAGTGTCAATATATTGCCTCCCTCCCCCGCCCCCCACCCTCCGAAAGCTGACACATCGGCGGGCTCTGCTTACCGCTTCCACACGCCGGCAAGAACGGTCAGCAGACGGGGCCAAAACAAACATTTTTTTAGCGGCGCGTAAGAGGTGGAAGCCCGCGCTCGGAGCAGAATTTAAACTCGCGAATCGGAGCTCGGGGATGGATTATCGCCGCGCCGCCGCCGCCGCTACTGTGGTGCGAGAGGAATGGAGTTTTCGTGGTCTTGCGTGAGCGGGTGTAGGTTATGGGCCGACAAGTAGTTGTTTTGCAAGCTGGTTTGGGTGTTATTGGGATTGATGGGTCGTTGGTGGATGTCGGAATCGTTCCACGGGGCCGCCGACCTCCGTGAAGTGTAATGAGTCGGTAGTTGAGCCGTACGGTCGTTTTATGAAGGTATTTGAGACGTGGCTGGTTTATCGCTTCCGTTTATCTTTATGACAGAATGGTGTGTGTGGCCTTGCAGGTGTTGTGGTGGATTCGATGCCCTCGGATTGGGTGGTTCTCTGATCGTGTTTACTCTTTTATTTACATTGAAGAAATACGTTAACGCTGGGAAGTGACGTGCAACGAGATATCGACTGATCACGTCATCGATGGTGTAACCTTAAACCCGGTGCATCGCGCTTCCTGGCTCTTCATTGTGAGCCGTGGCATAAAGAAGACGGTTAATGGGATAAAGATTTCGCCCCAGAACGCCAGCAGCCGTTGAAAGAGGCAAAGGAGGGGAAGGAGGAGGAGAAGAAGGAAGAGGATGAGGAGGAGGGATATCTCCTTTCCCTCTCCCTCCGTCCCCTTTTCCCGCCGCCGGCACCGTCTCGAGACCCAATTGATCGCTGGAAGAAAGAGAGAAAAAACAGTATAAAGGCCTCGCGCAGCACGATGAATGGGCGGCGGCGTCCCCGGCCGCGCGACGGTCAAGCCTGCCGGAATGGTAACGGTCGATTCCGCGATCACAAATGATATCGGGCTTTTGTGAGCTTTTTACGTCTCCACGGAATTTCCTTGGCAGAAAATACCTGTTACCGGACCTAACCGAAGGATCGCTGCCCCCCTCCCCCTCCTCTCCCCCCCACGCCCTCCAGTCTCCCTTTGATTGGCTCTTTAAACGCCAGTCACCGACGCCCATTTTCGGTTGATTGGGTTTCTGGTGCAGTGACGTCTTCCCATTTTACGCTCCATTCTCGCGTCTCTCATTTTCCCGGGATTTATCTTCTTTCTCCTGTGAGAAAGATCAGTCCGGATTCGGGGCAGCGAGATTATTTTCTTTACCTCTTTGTCTGCCTCTCGATCGGGTCTGGCGGTGACAGGGAGGTCTCCGTGAGGCGCGATGCGGAGGGGAGGAGGGCGCCGCCACGGACCGTCGCTGGGAATGCCCAAGTAACTCGCGTATGAACACTCTTCGTAACTCGGACGATGGCTGGAGTCGGAACGGAACCTCGCGAGGAAGGGGTTCTTGCCCCCCCCCCCCCTCGGCCTTTGGGTGTCTTTGAGCGTGATCTGAGCGTGAGTGTCCCTGCGGCGACCCCCTTCAGAGCGTGTTCCGGTTCCCCTCCCTCCCTCCGCAGCCGTCTGAACCGAAGCCCATACTCCGTTCGGTTCCTCTCGGGGCGCAGTGGGTGTCCGGCGCGCCCTTGACTGACGCCTCGGCTCCTCTTTTTAGGCGTTTCTTTCCTCGTTTCACGGGCGTGCTTTCCTCCTCATTCCGTTGTGATTGTAGTTTTTTGCATATATGTATTATGTACATGTGTATGTTTATACAGTATTATACATGTATATAATATATATACATATATATATATACATATATACAATATATACACTATACAATATATATGATATATACATAATATGTAATATATATACATAATATAATATATGTATATATATATATATAAGTATATATGTGTGTGTGTCTATGTTTATGTGTATATGTATATAATATATATAATATATATATATATATAATATATATATATAATATAATATATACAGATAATAATATATAACATATTTACATATGTAAACATATATGTTTACATACACCTATATACATATACATATATATATATATATATATATATATATATATATATATGCATATATATGTATATATACATATAAATATATATATATATATATATATATATATATGTATGTGTGTGTGTGTGTGTGTGTGTGTGTGTGTGTGTGTATGTGTAAAATATATGTAAATATGTATATATTATCTCGTTTGTCGTAACGAACTATCCGAGGAAAAGCGTCTTTTCAGTCTTGTAGTTCATGTTCGTCTCGTAACAGAGCCAAGACCTGGGCGAGGCCCCGCCCCCCTTGAGGCGTCGCCGCCGTCACCAGCAGAGCGTCTTCGGCGGTGTTTGGCGGGGGCAAAAACTGGGTGAAGTTTCCTGGCGCGTCCTGGGGCAGTTGGTCTCCATTGTGCGCCGCCCCTCGGGGTATCAGGTTACCCCGGGGACCCGAGTAGTTGACAGAGCTCTATCTATTAGCAGGAAACACGTGATATCGAGACACGAGACGACTGCCCTGTAGGGGGAATATCTGGGGAGTGGGGGGGGGGGGGTCTGATCCGGGCTTTTTGTGATCGGCGCGAACTCCTGGTTTTGAATCTGTTTTTTTACGATTCGATCCTCCATTCTTAAGCTTTTTTTTAGGATTTCCGCAGGAGTGATGTGATTTTATGAGATAAGGAAAGG